GCTGCGATGCATTTTTCGAGTTAGGCTAGTCATAGTGGGAGTAACTTAAGTAGTAACATAGCACACTCCAATTTTTTTTGCTTATATGGCATTAGTTAATGAGGAGAGAGGTGTTTAGAGTAATATAATATGTTACTGTAACATAACGCTTTCCGATAAAGGATAAGTCTACAAGCTAATAAATGAGGTCATCTATGACACTAGTACTATGTTACTTTGCACTATGAAGGTACTAGTGTCATATGCATGACACTAGTATAAGTTACTCCCCACTATGACCAGCCTTAGGCCAACTCCACCGCGCAACCCTATCCTGTCCGCCCCCGTCCGTTTGGGGTAAAAGGGACAAACGAGACGGCCTAGCGCGCGGCCGCAAACAGACTTTTTGTCCGCTTTGTGTCCGCTTTCGACCCATCGGCGGCCCAAGTTTGCGCCGCTTTTGGGGTCAAACGGACACCACGCGGACGCGCGGGTCGTTTGCGCGTGTCCTCCCCTGGCCCGCCCGTCGGTGGCACAACGCAGGCCTCTTTCTATCCGCCCCATCTCTCCCTCCGGCCGCACCCCCTCCACTCTTCCCCACTCTTTCCCTCTCCGCCGCCGCCGCCGCTACCATTGCAGCCGTGCAGTTCGGACGCGAGCTCACCCAACCCCTTCCCCTCGGCGCCGCCGAGCTACCCAACCACGGCCACCTGGTTTGCGCACCCGCCGGCGGTTTTGGGGCGGATCCGGTCGGTCTTGAGCTCGGACGGCTGTGGGAGGCCGGGCCGCTCCATGGACTGGCCGGAAGGCCCTGGCAGGGCCGCAAGGCCACATGCAGGCAGTGGCTCCTCCTCTAACCGCTCGGATCTGCACCGTCGGTGGTCCGCCGGCAGATACACGAATGGCGGCCGGCCAGGCTCGGTGCTTGCCCAAAAGCTCGCCGGCGCACAATTGCCACTCATTAAGTGCGACCACTGCCCAAGGATGGTCGTGCGCCGCGTGTCTACAACGCCGGAACATCCCGGATGGGTGTTCATTAAGTGCTTAAACGATGGGGTATGCGCTTTTTTTAGCTTCGGTTTGTGCTCTAGATTTGACTAGTTGTGCTAACTTCAAATTTTGTTGTGTAGAATGGATGCAAGTTTTGGTATTGGGAAGAAGAGTACATCGATATATTGATAGAGCCAAATTTAGTACATGTTCGTGCACTTTTAGCTAGCATAGAGGCTGTAAATGAGACAAGTGCACTTGTTACTAAATTAGAGGCTAGACACGAGACTAGGTGTGAGGAGGAAGCAACATCGACTTCTGGCTTGAAGAAGAAAGGAGGATGCCAGATCGAGCCTCCTCCTCCACAGATCAACAACGAGTGCATCGAGAAGGCCCTAACCCAACTCAAGGGAGCAGTTATGGAAGTTGGGTATCTTCTAAAATGTATTCTTGTGGTTCTTGTTTTCTTTGGTCTTACTTTACTAGTCAAAATGTGATGTTGTATTTTTCATGTACCAAAAATGAATGATGAGATAAAATTAAGGACTTGCAAAGAAATAATACGCGGACAGGATGCGGCCGGGATGCGTCCGCGCGCTGGGCGCATGGCCACCGCATCCCAGGACACGCCCGGACACGACCCCAAATCCCTACCCAAAACGGACAGAATCCGGACAAAATGGACGTCCGTTTGGGGTCGCGCAGTGGAGTTTAGGCCAACTCCACCGCGCGACCCTATCCTGTCCGCCCCCGTCCGTTTGGGGTAAAAGGGACAAACGAGACGGCCTAGCGCGGGGGCGCAAACGGACTTTTGTCCGCTTTGTGTCCGCTTTCGACCCATCCCTGGCCCAAGTTTGCGCCGGTTTTGGGGTGAAACGGACAGCGCGCGGACGGGCGGGACACGCGCGCTTGTCCTCCCCTTGCCCGCCTGTCGGTGGGAGAAACCAACCCCCCACGCCCATTTGGCGCCATTTTCCCCAAACCCTCCCACGTCCCTCCCGCCGCCCCCTCTCTCCCCCGTCCATGGCCGACGCCCCGCCGAGTTCCAGCGGCCTGGCCGTTGACCCGACCGCAAAGGTGAAGAAGAAGGCGCCAAGGAAGCCGCGGTCGGAGTGCACGCCGGAGGAGATCGCCAAGTTGGACGCGGATTCGGCGAAGAGGAGGGAACGGAGAGCGGCCGTCAAGGTCAATGCCGCCGCGGCCAAGTTCGTCGCCCAGCGCGAGGAGCTAGAGGCCACGCGGCAAAAGGCGCTACCGACGAGAAGGAGGACCTCGTCAACAAAGCGCACGCCATCCTCATGCTTGGCATGGGCCGTCCGGCGGGGTTCCATGCAGCGGCCGTCGGCCCGGCGAGCACAGGCTCGTCGGTCGCCTGGCCTACACACTGCCAGTCGTCGACGTCGCGCGCCGCGCCCATGTCGCCCGGCTTTCCTCCGCCAAGGCACGACGGACAGACCCGTTTCTCGGCGTCGCCGGACGTGAGCTTGTTCGCGCCGTCCACACCACGCCCCACGGCCGTCATCGACCTCAACTCACGCCTGGGTCCAGCAGCGGCGGGCGGCCGTCCGTCGAGATGCAAAGAAAGCAGGCGCGGGCACCGTTCACGGGCACCATGCCGGCCCCCCGCGTGTTGTTTGACGGAATGCCAACCTCAACGCCAACGGTCGACGACCCCTTCTACAACCAGTACATGGAGGACGTGATCTTCCAGGGTGGGCATGGCCGTGCCTACGACCCCAAGGAGACCCAAAGTCAGGATGGCCGTGCCCAGTACGTGCCCGATGAAGAGGCCGATGACCGTGCTGACTACGACCATGGTGATTCGTGGCATGAAGACGATGACATCTATGTCGAAGGTGAAGATGAAGATGAAGGCAATGATGTTGATATTAGTGGCGAGCCATTGTTCATCGACGAGCTCACCCAAAGAGCGGAAACATAAAAGAAGCGGAAGAGCATTCGCACGGGTTCATATACACAAGATGAGGGCAAGTTGATTTACCAAGCTTGGATGGAGATTAGCCAAGATCCAAGGACCGGCGCGCAACAAAAGGGCATTGTTTTTTGGACGAGAGTCCACAAAACATTCCATGAAAGGAAGATGTTTGAGCCCTATCAAATTACAAGCAACCGTGGCATCAGGTCGATTCAAAAAAGATGGTTGTTCATCCAACAAGAGTGCACCAAGTATTGCGCCGCATTTGAGAGCGTTGAAGCACGACCCGTGAGTGGACTCGGCGTTGGGGACATGGTATGCTCTCCTCTTTCTTGCCCTTTCCGTTGCTACGGCCATGAGACTTCGGCCGTGTATATGTTTGCATGTTCACTTGTTGTTGATCATGTGGTGTAGGCATTTCAATCTTTGGAGGCATTCAAGGGCCGGCACAATGACAAGCCATTCACTCTTACGCATTGTTGGACGCTCATCAACAATTGCCCTAAGTTCAAGGACCAATACCGTGAACTACAAAGGAAGAGAGGACTGAAGACGGCCAAGTTCGCCGGAGGTGGAGATGGCGAGGCGTTGAAGAGGCCGAGGGGCAAGACCAACTCCAAGGTTGATGACATACGTGATGCCTCATCCATGGCATTGCATGACATGATGTCTCAAAAGGATGTGAGGGACGAGAAGAAGCGGCAAAGCAAGGACGAGCAAATGAAGCAATACCTAGACCTTCAAAGAAAGAAGCTTGAGATGGAGGAGGCGGCCAAGAAAAGGAAGATAGACATGGAGGAGGCGGCCCGGCAAAGGCAGCTCGACATGGAAGAGGCCGCCCGGCAAAGGCAGCTCGACATCGAGGCCGACAACGTCAGGGCCAGGCAGAGGCAGCTCGACATCGAGGCCACCAATGCCGCCACCAAAGCGAAGGAGGTGGCCCTTGCGATCATGAGCGTGGACTTGTCGAAGATGAGCGACAAAACGAGGGCCTGGTTCAGGGCCAAGCAGAAGGAGATGCTCGACGCCGAAGGCCTGAACTAGGTCGTCCGATCGGCGTGGCCGTTCTTTTTGGAGGCTGGCATGGGTGCCGCCCGCCCGCTGGGCCGCTGGCAGTGTGCCGGCGAAAAAAACATTTATTTTGGAGGCCGGCTGTGTTGCAGGCGAGGACAACTATTTATTTTGAAGGCTGGCTGTGTTGCCGGCCGCTGGCGGATGCTGGCGATGGTCGTGTAGGCCGCTGGCTTTGTTGCTGGCGTGATGAACTGGGGTCGTGAACTGGGGCTTGGCATTTGAAACGTCGTTTTTTTTAAAATAGACGCGGACAGAATGGAGCAAAAGGATGCGGCCGCGCGGTGGGCACACGGCCACCGCATTTCAGGACAGGCCCGAACACGGCCCCAAATCCTTATCTAAACGGACAGAATCCGGACAAAATGGACGTCCGTTTGAAATCGCGCAGTGGAGTTGGCCTTAGAGCACGTATAATAAGGCGGCGTAGGTTCGACCCACCACCTGCGTGCCAGACCAAGATCCAAGGTAGGTGTAGATTCGATCTAAGAGGGTGGGAGCCGGGGAGGGGAGGAGGGAGGCGGCTGGTTTTGACCCTGTGCCCGCGCCGGGACGTCGCCAGCAATTCCGCGAGGCGAGCCGCGGCAGCCGACCAAACACGGCGGCCATCGATCTGGGCGGCAGGGGCGAGCCCCGAGCCATCGCCACCAGCACGGCTGCGTCCTCCGAGGCATGAATGCGGGGGGCCGCGAATTTCAACTCGCATCGACCCACCCATCCATCCACCCCAATGGCGACCGATTATATACTCCTATTTAACAAGCGAAAATGTCATCAACTTCAACTTGCATCTGTAGCTGTAAACCGACTCTCATATGTACAGTTGAGCTCGACGGGTGCCGTTGCGGCTACTCCGTCCACCACACCACAATCCATCTACTTTTCGCCTACATTTTTTCATGACACCATGATTCGCTGGGGCCAAAGGGAGGAAGAAGAAGCAAGCTTCGCCGCCTTTCTCTTCTCAAGCCGGGTCCGGTTTGCGCGACAGAGTACGGTTCCGGGTTCAGGTTCAGGCACGCCCCTAAACCTGCAGAGAGAGTGCATGAGCGCTCCGCTGAAAATAGATTGCAAGCAATGGATGATGCAACTCAACAAACAGAGAGAATGACGGAAGGATGGCGGTAGAACAGTTTCAGTGTGGCTCCGGGTTCGGGTGGGAAGCCGGGCAATACCTGTCTTCGCCTCCGGTGTTGAAAAGCATAGCAGAAGCGCGCTATGACGTAACACGGAAGAAAGAATCCCACGAACTGAAGAATTGCCTGAAATGAAGGAAAATGTTCAGTTAGTTTGATGTGAAAACATAATGCCGAGATCACATAGAGGTGAATGCCGAGATCATTTGGACTCACGCTGAACAGAACCGTCGCATCTTGTAGCATGCTAACATCTCGCACGATCACGGTTACATGGCGCACGAGCAGAAGCACCATCAACTGCAGCAAATATCAACATCGTCATCCACCCTTCAGAACAAATAAAGATATGTTTACTGAGAAAAAGAGTTTTGTAACATACAATTAGGGCAATAGACCGGCAGCATGTGGCGCCGCTCGAATTTGAGGTCATGCAGTCATCGAATTCAGCGTTCAGCAGCTGCTGCTCGGCAATAGCGATCGCCAGGAAATGGGAATCATGGGGATCGATTCGCCCAACCCAGCTTTGCCTGGTTACAAACAAACGGCCATTACTTCAGAACATGTAGGCCATCATTCTTCAGTTGACAGAACATAAATGATCTCCACAATTTCACCAAACTATGAAACATGGTGTCGGTAAGTACCTAAGATCCATGCCCATTTCATCTGAACAGCACTTTGTTGGAGGGAGAATATAGTTCGGAGAGTAAACCTGTAGCACAAAACGAACATAAGCCGACTCTGAAAGACTCTGCTGACAAATACTACAGAACATGGTGAAAATCAGCAACATTTCATTTTTCCTCTGCCATGCAGTTGGCCTGAATTGGACTGCTCATAATTCATAAACTGAACTACAACAGGCACCAAGGCTCTTTAACATTTCAAAATAATAACTAAGTGGCATGCCATCACCTAGAACTGTAGAAACGAAATGCAGTATTAGCATAGTACATTACTCTACAGGGGTAGTCTTTCTCCGTTTCTCGTAACGGGAAAGCCAGAAATACCCACCTGGTTGCAGATTTCACATGTGATGTTCCCCTTCTTGTCGCACCACCTCTGTATGCACTTCCTGTGCGCGAACTGCATCCAACCAAACGCCGGTTGACCAGCACCACACGGTTAGCATTTTTGGTTGTTCATATCAGAAGATAAATCTCAGGTAACATGTCACTTTGTTCAGGAGATAATCCCAGGTCACATGTAAAACGACTGGAAGGGAAAACAGACAATTATCTGACCAACTGGAGAGATGAGGCAATAATTTTCATGGATAAACATGGACCGGTCGCTGCTAGTTCGACTGTTTGAACAATCCGAGATCGCACTGTTCTGGTCTGGACTCTGTAATAACACAGTGTGTTTCGTTGCGCGTTATGAACAATCATTTGGCAATCTGAACAGAGCTTTCGCTGCTCCTAATCACGCTAAGCTCCAGTCTAGAGAAAGATTTCAACAACAGAAAATAAATACACCAAAAATACCATGATAGCATTACCAAGCATCAGGGCAAATTTCAGCAAAAAGAACAAAAAAGAAAGGAAACAGAGGACTGCAAGTGCAGAGCACAGACGACTGGTGCCTCACGAAAGATATCAGAGGACGGATGGAACCAAGAATCTAAGATAAAACATCTAGAAATCTGCCCATCACTTTGAAGAACATAACAAATAAACATCAGCTTTCCACTTGGCCTCCACAGGCCGCTACACTTGCGCAGCGCAGCTCCAAAACAAGCAGGAAAAGAGGCGTCCTCCCAGAGAGATTGGGGAGGAAAGAAGGAAAGAGAGAGGCTGAGAGGGTCACCTTGAGCGTGCCAGTGCAGGCGCAGGGGGAGTCCATGGCGGCCTCATCCCCCTCCTCCTGGCATATCCGGCACTCTATCGCCCCCTTGCCGTCCACCCCGACCACCACCTCCACCTGCCCTTCGCCGCCGGCGACCTTCTCCACGCGCGCCATCCCTCTCTCTCTTCCCCTCCCTCTCTCCCTCGCACGCTGAGCAGCTCGCTCGCGTCCCTGGAGCAGAGCAGAGCAGGGCAGAGCAGGTGAGGAATGAGCCAAAAGGCGGGGCCTTTTTCTAAGCTCCGTCCCAGGACAACAACTCCAAGGAACAAGAGAGAGAGAGGGAGAAGAATACCAAGCGAGGAGTATACTACTCCTACTTCCCTCTCTCTCCTAGGCTGCTAGCGTAGGAGTATTCTAGCGCTCATATTTTTGTGGGGATTTCACTCCTACTGCCTGCTTTAGGTTGCGGCTCGTTGGCTTGTGGTGTCGAATGATGAGCGAGTGATTGGGTTCGTGGTCGTGGGGTTAGTGGACACCGGGTAACTCCCACTGGGGCGGGGCGGCTAGTGGGAGATGAGATGAGGCGATATTGACGCTCGTGCGTCCGTCTTTCCGTTACCCTGACCGCTCTGTTGCCCCCTCTTTCACCCACATTTTGTCGCTCGACGTGTTATTCTGGAGTTTATGCGTCTAGGACGTATCGACCATGAAAATGCCATATTTGATCCATTTTTCACGCTTTCTACTCATTGGCTGCCTGAATTTTTATATCGGGTCATGTCGACTCCTCGGAGGATTGAGGCAATGCACGAGGTCGAAGACGAAGGAGCTCGAGGGTTGATAGTGCGGGTCGGAGAGCCTATTCGTATTTAATTCCCGGTCGGATTAGATGGACCCTCGCCGGAGGCAGGGACGGCGTAACGAGCAACAATGGGGCATGTCGTCGTAACCAGAGGAGAGGAAGGGAGGCGAGCCTGAGGCGAACGGCTGGAGGAAGACATGATCGGCTAGGGGAGAGAAAGCGTGCGTTTCGGTTTGAGGAAGAATAACGGTTGGAGGAAGAAGAAGATGATCCAACCATTCAATTTTTATCTAACGGCTTGGAGCGGTCTCTTGCAAATCGACTGAGTCGAATCATTTTTTAGGTAACCGTCAAATAGGCGGCCCTTTTATCTATTTTTTCTGTGGAGTGTTGTAGGAAGAGGTAGCTTTTAAATTCTTAACCATCCTAACTAGGTTAGAAGAAGTAGGTTCTAAATCGGGCAATCGATCCCATGGAATAGAGAGGTGGCACATGAGGCCTAAGACGAAGGCGGGCTCGACGAACAATGCGGGTGGGGGAGCCTTCTGTGTTTAAATCCTGGATGGCTTAGATGGAGCCATCATCGGAGGCGGGGACGCCATAAGGGGAATCAATGAGGCATGTCGTCGCAACCGGAGGAGAGGAAGGAAGGTTATCCTGAGGCGAGTAGCTGGAGGAAGACATGATCGGCTGGGGAGAGAAGGCGCTCGCTCTGGTTTGAGGAAGAATAACGGTTGGAGGAAGACGAAGATGATCCAATCATTCGATTTTTATCTAATGGCTTGGAGCGGTCCCTTGCAAATCGACTGACTCGAATTATTTTTTGAGGTAACTGTCAAAGAGGCGGTCCTTTTATCTATTTTTTCTGTGGAGTGTTGTAGGAAGAGGTAGGTTTTAAGTTCTTAACCATCCTAACTAGGCTAGAAGAAGTAGGTTCTAAATCGGGCAATCGATTCCATGGAACAGAGATGCAGCACATGAGGCCTACGATGGAGGCGGGCTCGAAGAACAATGCGGGTGGGGGAGACTTTTGTGTTTAAATCCTGGATGACTTAGATGGAGCCATCGTCGAAGACCGGGCGCCATAAGGTGAATCAATGAGGCATGTCATCGCAGCCGAAGGAGAGGAAGGAAGGTGGTCCTGAGGCGAGCGGCTGGAGGATGACATGATCGCGTGGGAGAGAGAAGGCGTGCGCTATAGTATGAGGAAGAATAGCGGTTGGAGGAAGAAGAAGATAATCCAACCATTTGATTTTTATCTAACGGCTCAAAGCGGTCCCTGATGTCTACTACACAACCTTCTTCTTGTAGACGTTGTTGGGCCTCCAAGTGCAGAGGTTTGTAGGACAGTAGCAAATTTCCCTCAAGTGGATGACCTAAGGTTTATCAATCCGTAGGAGGCGTAGGATGAAGATGGTCTCTCTCAAGCAACCCTGCAACCAAATAACAAAGAGTCTCTTGTGTCCCCAACACACCCAATACAATAGTAAATTGTATAGGTGCACTAGTTCAACGAAGAGATGGTGATACAAGTGCAATATGGATAGTAGATAATGGTTTTTGTAATCTGAAAATATAAAAACAGTAAGGTAACTAATGATAAAAGTGAGCGTAAACGGTATTGCAATGCTAGGAAACAAGGCCTAGGGTTCATACTTTCACTAGTGCAAGTCCTCTCAATAATAATAACATAATTAGATCATATAACTTTCCATCAACATGCAACAAAGAGTCACTCCAAAGTCACTAATAGCGGAGAACGAACGAAGAGATTATGGTAGGGTACGAAACCACCTCAAAGTTATTCTTTCCAATCAATCCGTTGGGCTATTCTTATAAGTGTCACAAGCAGCCCTAGAGTTCGTACTAGAATAACACCTTAAGACACAAATCAACCAAAACCCTAATTTCACCTAGATACTCCAATGTCACCTCAAGTATTCGTGGGTATGATTATACAATATGCATCACACAATCTCAGATTCATCTATTCAACCAACACATAGAACCTCAAAGAGTGCCCCAAAGTTTCTACCGGAGAATCATGACGAAAACGTGTGCCAACCCCTATGCATAGGTTCATGAGCGGAACCCGCAAGTTGATCACCAAAACATACATCAAGTGAATCACGTGATATCCCATTGTCACCACAGATACGCACGGTAAGACATACATCAAGTATTCTCAAATCTTTAAAGACTCAATCCGATAAGATAATTTAAAAGGGGAAACTCAATCCATTACAAGAGAGTAGAGGGGGAGAAACATCATAAGATCCAACTATAATAGCAAAGCTCGCGATACATCAAGATCGTGCCAGATCAAGAACACGAGAGAGAGATCAAACACATAGCTACTGGTACATACCCTCAGCCCCGAGGGAGAACTACTCCCTCCTCGTCATGGAGACCACCGGGATGATGAAGATGGCCACCGGAGAGGGAGTCCCCCTCCGACAGGGCGCCGAAACGGGTCTAGATTGGCTTTCGGTGGCTACGGAGGCTTCTGGCGGCGGAACTCCCGATCTATTGTGCTCCTCGATCGTTTTAGGGTATATGAAGATATATAGGTGGAAGAGGTACGTCAGGGGAGCCACGAGGGGCCCACGAGGGTGGAGGGCGCGCTCCCTACCTCGTGGCTTCCTCGAAGCTTCCTTGACGTGGACTCCAAGTCTCCCGGGTTGCTTTCCTTCCAAAAATAAGTTCCGTGAAGTTTCAGGTCAATTGGACTCCGTTTGATTTTCTTTTTCTGTGATACTATAAAACAAGGAAAAAATAAAAACTGGCACTGGGCTCTGGGTTAATAGGTTAGTCCCAAAAGTAATATAAAAGTGTATAATAAAGCCCATAAACATCCAAAACAGAAGATAATATAGTATGGAGCAATAAAAAATTATAGATACCTTGGGGACGTATCAGCATCCCCAAGCTTAATTCATGCTCGTCCTCGAGTAGGTAGATGATAAAAATAGAATTTTTGATGCGGAGTGCTACTTGGCATAATTTCAATGTAATTCTTCTTAATTGTGGTATAAATATTCAGATCCGAAAGATTCAAGATAAAAGTTCATATTGACATAAAAATAATAATACTTTAAGCATACTAACTAAGCAATTATGTCCTCTCAAAATAACATGGCCAAAGAAAGTTCATCCCTACAAAATCATATAGTTTAGTCATGCTCCATTTTCGTCACACAAGAATGCTCTCATCATGCACAACCCCGATGACAAGCCAAGCAATTGTTTCATACTTTAGTAATCTCAAATCTATAAACTTTCACGCAATATATGAGCGCGAGCCATGGACATATCATTATGGGTGTAATAGAATATAATGAGGGGGGTTATGTGGAGAAGACAAAAAGGAGAAAGTCTCACATCAACGAGGCTAATCAATGGGCTATGGAGATGCCCACCGATTGATGTTAATGCAAGGAGTAGGGATTTCCATGCAACGGATGCACTAGAGCTATAAATGTATGAAAGCTCAACAAAAGAAACTAAGTAGGTGTGCATCCAACTTGCTTGCTCACGAAGACCTAGGGCACTTGAGGAGGCCCATTGTTGGAATATACAAGCCAAGTTCTATAATGAAAATTACCACTAGTATATGAAAGTGACAAAACAAGAGACTCTCTATCATGAAGATTACGGTGCTACTTTGAAGCACAAGTGTGGCAAAGGATAGTAACATTGTCACTTCTCTCTTTTTCTCTCATTATTTATTTATTTATTTGGCCTTTCTCCTTTTTTATTTATGGCCTTTCTCTCCTTTTTTCTATAATTCCTCACTTGGGACAATGCTCTAGAAAATGATGATCATCACACTTTTATTTATTTACAACTCAATGATTACAACTTGATACTAGAACAAAAGATGACTCTATATGAATGCCTTCGGCGGTGTACCGGGATATGCAATGGACCAAGACTGACATGTATGAAAGAATTATGAACGGTGGCTTTGCCACAAATACTATGTCAACTACATGATCATGCTAAGCAATATGACAATGCTGAATGTGTCATGATGAACGGAATGGTGGAAAGTTGCATGGAAATATATCTCGGAATGGCTATGGAAATGCCATAATAGATAGGTATGATGGCTGTTTGAGGAAGATATAAGGAGGTTTATGTGTGAAAGAGCGTATCATATCACGGGGTTTGGATGCACCAGCGAAGTTTGCACCAACTCTTAATGTGAGAAAGGGCAATGACGGTACCGAAGAGGCTAGCAAGGATGTAAGGGTGAGAGTGTTGGAAATATGCCCTAGAGGCAATAATAAAAGCATTATTATTATATTTCCTTGTTCATGATAATTGTCTTTATTCATGCTATAATTGTGTTATCCGGAAATCGTAATAC